CGATCTCTTGCAAATGACGCCACATTCGCGCCCCCGAGGCCACGATCCCATTCAAATGACGCCACATCCGCGCCCCCGAGGCCACGATCCCTCGAGAATTACTCCATGTTCGCGCCCCCGAGGCCACGATCCCTTATTTGGTATTCGCGGCCCCTAACACAATTTGCTCGTCCCCGAGGCCTTTAACCTTACACATTACAATAGTCGCGTCATCAATACCCTTGCGCCCCCGAGGCAACAACCTTTGTAAATTACCATATTCGCGTCCCCGAGGCAACACATCCTTGCAAGTTGCTAAATTGCCTCGTCCCCGAGGCAAGAAACCTTCGAAAAATATTGAATAGTCGCGTCCCCGAGGCAACAAACCCTCGCAATGTTCTCAAGTGTCGCGCCCCCGAAGCCAGAATCCATAGTAAATTACGCAAGATTCGCGTCCCCGAGGACACAAACCCTCGCAACTTGCTCAATTCTTGCGTCCCCGAGGCAACAAGCTTTCGCAAAGTATGCAATATTCGCGTCCACGTGGCCATGAACTGTCCCACGTTACCCCTTATCAGTACTGCCGAGGCCAAGAGTGCTGCAAGGCGCCCGAAGATGGTTCAAAGACGACCCAAGAGGGCCCAAGAGTCCCCAAGAGCGCTCGGGGTTCTCGCATTTTCGGCTGTCCGACGCTCCAAGATGGCTCAAGAAGCCCCCCAGACCGCCCCAAGACAGCCCAAGACGCCTCCAAGAGGGCCCGAAGACGGTCCGAGGGGGCTCCAAGATGGCCCAAGAAGCGCTCCGAGAAGCCCCGAGAAGCCCCCAGGAGGTCCCAAGAGGCCACAAGAGGCGCCCAAGAAGCCTTCAAGAGGCCCGAAAGAGATCCCACGAGGCCCCAAGAGGCCCCCAAGAGGCGCCGAAACCGCCTCCAAGGGGCCCCCGAGAGGCTCCCCACGACAACCCAACACATATACAAGAGGCCTCAGACCCACAACCCAGACAAGAGGGCACAAAGACGACCCAAGAGGCCTCCAAGACGCCCAAGATGGCCTCTAAGACGGCCCTGCACCACCCCAAGAGGGCCCCAAGTCGGCCCAGAAAGGCTCCTCGAACGGCTTCCGACGGCGTCAGACGGGCCAGGAGCCCACCAAGATGTCCGAAGTTGGCTCGAAGCTGGCCCAAAACGGCCCAAGAGGCCTCCAAGAGGGCCTCCAGGAAGGCCAGAAAAGGACAAAAACACTGATGCTCCTTAGGTGTTCGAAGGATTTTGACGTTTGCTTCGTTTCGGCCTTCCGACGGCCCGATACAGCCCAAAAGCCCCCAAAGATCGCCCAAGGATCTCCCAAGAGGCCTCCAAGATGGCCCCAGAACGGTCCAAGAGGCCCCCAAGACGGCCCTAAGAGGCTCCCAAGACGGCCCAGGAGGCTTTTAAGACGCCCAGGATGGCATCCAAGACGGCCCTGGAGCATTCCAAGAGGGCCCCAAACCGGCTCAGAGAGGCCCCCCAAACGGCTTCAGACGGCGTCGGACGGGCCAACCAAGACGGCCGAAGATGGCACTAAGATGGCCCAAGACGGCCCAAGAGGCCTCCAAGAGGGTCTCCAGGAAGGCCCGAAAAGGCCAAAATCCTTGATTTCCCCTGAGTGTTTGAAAGATTGTGGCAGTTGCTTTTTGTTCGGCCTTCCGACGGCCCGAGACGGCCCAAGTGCCCCCAAAGATCGCCCAAGAGGCCCAAGACGGCCCCAAGAGGCCACCAAGACGGCCCAAGAGGGCTCCAAGACGCTCAAAATGGCCTCCAAGACGGCCCAAGAGCCCTCCAAGACGTCCTCCAAGAAGGCCCGAAAGTGTCAAAATGGCCTCCAGGCGGCCAAGATGACCTTCAAGATGCCCACGTGTTCCCCGAAGGCTTTCCAAACCGATTCGGGGAACACATGGTCCGATAGCTTGGCAGATCTGGCCTCAACGTTCGGCCACATAGGCGCTTCCAAAAAGGCAGGGGGCGGCGGTGATTCGCCGTAGGCGTCTTCGATCCGCCGCCCCCTGTTGGCTGGCTTGCCAGAAGGGTGCCCGGCGTGCTAGATTATTTCGGTTTGGGTTTTGCTTCTTTTCCAAAAGAACTCCCCCTGGGGCTTCGGCCCGTCCCGCCGGCCACCCGAAACCGAAAGGCCTGGAATTCTCCCAAACTCTCCCAAGACAGCTCAAGATGGTTATCAAAACCGCCCCGATGGCCTAGGATGGCCTCCAGGATGCCTCCAAGACGGCCAAGATGATCTCAAGTTCGCCCAAAATGGTCCATGATGGCCTCCCAAACGGCCCAAGAGGGTCCACGATACATCCAAGCTCGCCCAAGAAGCCTCCAAGACGGCCTAAGAGGCCTCCAAGAGGTTTTCCAGGAGGGCCCGAAGAGGCCAAAATCATTGATTTTCCATAGGTGTTTGAAGGATTTTGCCAGTTGCTTCTTCTTGGGTTTCCGACGGCTCAAGACGGCCCAAGACGCGATGGCCTCAGGACTGCCCAAGAGGCCCCCACGACGGCCCCAAGAGGGCACAAAGACGACCCAAGAGGCCTCCAAGACGCCCAAGATGGCCTCTAAGACGGCTCTGGAGCACCCCAAGAGGGCCACAAGTCGACCCAGACAGGCCCCCGACGGCGTCAGACGGGCCAGGAGCCCACCAAAACGGCCGAAATTGGCTCGAAGCTGGCCCAAGACCGCCCAAGAGGCCTCCAAGAGGGCCTCCGGGAAGGCCAGAAAAGACCAAAAACATGTATGTTCCTTAGGTTGTTGCAGGATTTTGACATTTGCTTCATTTCGGCCATCCGAAAGCCCGATACGGTCCAAGAGCCCCCAAAGATCGCCCGAGAAGCCTCCAAAATGGCCCCAGAACGGCCCAAGAGGCCCCCAAGACGGCCCCAAGAGGCCCCCAAGACGGCCCAGGAGGCCTTCAAGACGCCCAAGATGGCCTCCAAGACGGCCCTGGAGCATTCGAAAAGGGCCCCAAGTCGACCCAGAGAGGCCCCCCAAACGGCTTCCGACGGCGTCGGACGGGCCAGGAGCCCACCAAAACGGCCGAAGATGGCTCTGAGATGGCCCAAGACGGCCCAAGAGGCCTCCAAGAGGGCCTCCAGGAAGGCCCGAAAAGGCCAAAAATGATAGATTTTCCATGAGTTTGAAGGATTTTGGCATTTGCTTGTGTTCGGCCTTCCGACGGCCCCAGACTGCACAAGTGCCTCCGAAGATCGCCCAAGAGGCCCAAGACGGCCCCAAAGAGGCCCCCAAGACAACCCAAGAGGCCTCCAAGACGCTCAAGATGGCCTCCAAGATGGCCCAAGAGCCCTCCAAGACGTCCTCCAAGAAGGCCCGAAAGGGCCAAAATGGCCTCCAGACGGCCAAGATGACCTTCAAGATGCCACCGTGTTCCCCGAAAGCTTTCCAAACCGATTCGGGGAACTCATGGTCCGATAGCTTGGCAGGTCTGGCCTCAACGTTCGGCCACACAGGCGCTTCCACAAAGGCAGGGGGCGGCGGTGATTCGCCGTATAGGCGTCTTCGATCCGCCGCCCACTGTTGGCTTGCCACAGGGGTGCCCGGCGCGCTGAACCCACTCGGGTTTGCTTTTGGTTTTTTTTCCAAACGGGCTTCGGCCCGTCCCGCCAGCCACCCAGAAAGATCGTCCAGAGGTGATTGCCAAGGATTTTGTCCTGCTCCAGACAGCTCCAAGACGGCCCAAGATGGCCTCCAAGATCGCCCAAGCAGCCAAGATGGCCTCCAAGACGGCTAAGATGGCCCCAAAATGCCTCCAAGACGACCCAAGATGCACCCAAGACGGCCTGAGACGGCCTCAAGATGGCCCAAGACGGCCCAAGAGTCCCCTAAGAGGTCTCCAAGACAGCCCAAGAGGCCTCCAAGAGGTCCAAGATGCCAAAATCATTGATCGTCGTTAGGTTTTTGAAGGATTTTGGCATTTGCGCCATTTCGGCCTTCCGACGGCTCAAGAGGCCCCAAAGATCGCCACAAGATCGCCCAAGAGGTCTCCAAGATGGCCCCATGACGGCCCAAGAGGCTCCCAAGATGCCCCCAAGAGGGCCCCAAGACGGCCAAGATGGGCTCCAAGACGGCTAAGGTGGCCCCCAGATGCCTCCAAGACGGCCCAAGATGCACCCAAGACGGCCTGAGATGGCCTCCAGATGGCCTGAGGCGGCCCAAGAGGCCCCCAAGAGGCCTCCAAGACGGCCCAAGAGGCCTCCAAGAGGTCCTCCACGAGGGCCCGATGAGGCCAAATCATTGATTTTCCGTAGGTGATTGAAGGATTGTGGTATTTGCTTGCTTTCGGCCTTCCGATTGCTCAAGACGGCGCAAGAGGCCCCAAGATCGCCTACGACGCCTCCAAGATGGGCCGTCTTGGGGGCCTTTTGGGCCGTCATGGGGCTATCTTGGAAGCCTCTTGTGCGATCTTGGGGGCCTCTTGCTCCGTCTTGAGCCGTCGGAATGCCGAGAAGAAGCAAATGCCAACATATTTCAAACACCTTAGGAAAATCAATGGGCATCTTCGTGCCTTCCTGGAAGACCTCCTGGACGCCTTTTGGGCCGTCCAGGAGGCCTCTTGGGGGCCTCTTGGGCCGTCTTGGGCCATCTTGAGGCCATCTTAGGCTGTCTTGGGTGCATCTTGGGCCGTTGTCCTTAGGTTTTTGAAGGATTTGGGCTTCTGCTCCATTTCGGCCTTCCGACGGCGCAAGACTGCCCAAAAGACCATCAAGGCCGCCCCTAGAGTGCCCAACAAGCCTCCAAGACGGCCCCAGGACGGCCCAAGGGGCCCCCAAGACGGCCACAAGAAGGTCCCAAGACGGCCCAAGAGACCCCCAAGAAGCCCCAGATGGCCTCCAAGACTGCCAAGATGGCCTCCAAGATGCCTCCAAGACGGCCAAGATGGCCGTCGAAACGGCTAAGATGGCCCGAAGATGCACCTAAGACGGCCCAAGATGGCCTCGGCCCTGTAGGCCCGCAGGAGGCCTCCAAGACGGCCCAAGAGCCCTCCAACACGACCAAAATCATTGGTTGTCCTTAGGTGTTTGAAGGGTTTGGGCATTTTCTTCTGTTTAGCTCTCCGACGGTCCAAGACGGCCCAACGAGGCCCCCAACATCGCCCCAAGAGCGCCCAAGAGGCCTCTAGGATGGCCCCATGACAGCCCAAGAGGCCCCCTAAGAGGGCCCAAACAAGGCCCCACGACGGCCCGAGAGGCCCCCAAGACGCCCAAGATAGCATCCAAGACGGCCAACATGGCCTCCAAGATGCCTCCAAGACGCCCAAGAAGACCTCCAAGACGGCGAAGACGGCCCCAAGATGCACCCAAGACGGCCCCAGATGGCCTCAAGATGGCCTTAGACTGCCCAAAAGGTCCGCAAGAGGGCTCCAAGACGGCCCAGGAGTCCTCCAAGAAGTCCTCCAGGAAGGCCCGAAAATGTCAAAACGGCATCCAGCCGGCCAAGATAACCTTCAAAATGCCTTCAAGACGGCCAAGATGGCCTCCAAGCCGGCGAAGATGGCCCCAAGATGCACCCAAGACGGCCCCAGATGGCCTCAAGATGGCCTAAGGCGGCCCAAACGGCCCGCAAGAGGCCTTCAAGACGGCCCAAGAGCCCTCCAAGAAGTCCTCCAGGAAACCCGAAAATTCGGAAACCACCTGGCCCGATAGCTCGCCCGATTCCGTGTTCCCCGAAAGCTTTCGAAACCCTCTCGGGGAACGCGTGGCCCGATAGCTTGGCCAAGCTCCAACCCAACTTTCGGCCACGCAGGCGCTTCCAAAAAGGCAGAGGGCGGCGGTGATTCGCCGTAGGCGTCTTCGATAACGCAAACGCTACAATAGGTGTTGATGCTTCCTACAAGACCCCGCATGATGATCCCAGATGCACTATGGCAGCGCCGAGACGCACCGACGCGACTCTGGTAGATCCCATTATGATAGAGAGGGGGCCGGCGGCAGGGGGGGAAACCCTTACGGATAAAGCTTGAATGTACGTCCGAGCGCATCCACAATATTTGGGCCCTCGGTTCGTAGTGGCATAACTGGCTTGAACGTTACACCGCCTGCCGAAACGTTGCTTGCAACTCGGTTGTTCCCTCGAACGCTGGGTAACGCACCACCGGGATCGTCCTGAAAGATGCGCCTTGAAGTCAAGCGCCAGAACGGGTCTTCCGCACTCGAAACAAAAAATACCCACGCACAGAGTTCAACAATTATTGCGATCACAATGATGATGAATACGTACCGGCCAACATACCGACAGCGCATCACACTGCCAGACAATTGTGGAGCCATGGTCCTACCAACAAGACTACAAGACAACGCTTCCAGCGGGGACAAGACGAAAACTTAACGGGAAATTGTACGCCGTCCAATGAGAATTGGCATCAGCGTGTACTTGCACGTCGTGAGTTGCGGTTCAAACGATGCACCCAAATGGCTTCAACCAAAAAACAGCGGCATGGATGCAGCTGCCCATTTGGTTGAAAACGCTTGCTACGAACCTCAATTCCCCCCGACACCCCTGCCGCCCACATCCTCCCATCCCCGTCTCCCCCCTTACCTGCCCCGTTCTTCATTATGTCCTGCTCTTCACGTGAATCGGCCCTTGCTGTCCCTCTCATGTGTGCCATAGTCTCCCCGTTCCCCTTCCCTTCCCGCGTCGAATTGCCCGATTCCCTTTCCATATACTTTCCCGTCTCCCTGTCCTTATCCCTTGTCCAAACAATTCCCCATGCGCATCATCGTTTCCAAATTCGCGCTCCAGATTCCCGTCACCATCATCTTTATCCGGCACTCTGTCCTTCCCCTCTCCCTCTTCATGTGTCTCGTGCCCACGTCTCATTTGAGGGCCCCATGCACTTCACAATTTGATGCTCCAGCACACCACTTGCGTAGAATGGCACTGCCGTTTGGTGTGTCGCAAAACCTCCACACGGGCACGGCTATGTGCATTCTTGACACGCGCCATCAGATTTGTCCAATGGCGAAACCATGACCACAACTTGAGCCAGCTGGTCCCGTGCAGAAGCCAGCAGACTGCGAGACCCCAGCGTAAGCAACTAACCAATTTTGTTCGAATCAATGCAACGAGGCAATGAGCGTCACTCCACTATTGTTAGACGCTTAACAATGTGGCAACAGTGTTCTGTTCTCAATCCGGGCGCCATAATTCTAAAAAACTTCTCTAAGGTGCGCGAACCCCCTCCCTGGCCCGAAAGCAACCGATTCCCAACCGAACCTACAAAATCGATAGGTGCACTGCGACCCGATCCGAGTTCCAAGGGCCACGATCCCAATTAAAACATGTTTCCCTGGGGCTTGTGACTCTTGGGGTCTCCATGTGTTATTCAACCTTCTTGGGCGCTGTTTGGCAATACTGGGCGTTGCTGCGTCTTTGCTGGGCCATCCCAAACTCTCAAATCTCTGCTGGCAACGTTTAGGGCCAGTTTGGGGGGCCGTTTAGAAAGCGTTTGGTGCGAGTATGTATTTCTGTGTCCCGGAGACGTGCTAGTGTTTCGTTGGGTGCTTATGTGTCCGCATTTTACGTGGAGTTGCAAGACGACGTACATGCATGGTGGCTTCGAAGTCAAGCCGTGGCTGTATCGGATGCGCGCTTACATCGAAAATGATGGGCAACCTGGCTATGTGGTAGTTTCTACGTCCGCCACCATGTGCGAATGCGCCATGAACCATCCGGACGGGCCTCGAAGCGGCCCCCCGGGCCTCGCAGGGCGTGGCGCGCTCCCGAAACCACCCCAAAGAGCCCCAATACGGTCCACGACGACCCTCAAGAAGCCGTCATACCCCCAAAGATTGTCCCGAAACGTCCCAAGAGGCCTCCAAGAGCACTCCCAAGAAGGCCCCCCAAGAGGCAAAATCGTTAATTTTCTGATGGTTTTTGGTTTGTTTGGGGGTTCTCCTCTTTTCGGCTTCCCGACGCTCCAAGACGGCGGTCTTCTGGGCGTCCGAAGCCGCCTGGGAGGCTCCAAAAGCGCCCCACAACCATCCGAACGGGCCTCCAGGCAGTCCAAGAGAGCCCCAAAACGGCACAACAGGGGTCCATGATGGCCCTCAGAGAGCCCCATGGCGGCCCAAGATGGCCCCAAGACACCCTCCGAAGCATTCCAAATCGTGACCCGGTCGTTCAGGGAGACCACGGTTGGAGGCAGGGTGGCCCGAGGAAGCCCCCAGAGGCCCCCAGAACACGCCTAGGAGGCCTCCAGAAGGCCTTAAGAAAGCCTGAAACAACTTTTGTGAGGCCCCCAGAGGCTCTCCAAGGAGGATCCTCCGCAAAAAGAGCTCAGGAGGATGGGGAGAATGCGCAGTGCATGGCGAAAATGAGGAAAAAGAAGCATGGAGGAAGGATAACAAATAACATTATTATAGCGGCGATGCCAGAAAAGGCAACAAGGAGTTATCACTAAATTGTCGGCTTGACCTTCCTGCTAGTCCGCCTGCACACCAAACTTCAAGGACCAAGGTGCATGGCGCGAAGCGCCACTGCAGTCTTGTATATATATATATATATATAAGAGACAAGACTGCATTGGCGCTTCGCGCCAATGCACCTTGGTCCTTGAGGCTTTGCTTATGTTGGTCGGTCGCGCCATCCCTAGTGGCCTTGGAAATTTGGCCCCTTCCCTGCGGTGGTTTTCGAAAGTCTTGGAAAGTTCGGGCGGTCCGTGGCCCTTCCCGGGCCTCTGTGGGCTCCCGAAAAGCGCCGCGTGGAGGCCGAAGGATAGCAGGGAGGGAGCCTCGGGGAGCGAGGAGAGGGAAGCGGATGTGGGGGAGGACAAGTGGTGGACCAGCAGAAAGAGGAGGGGGAGGAGGAGGAGGAGAAGGAGGAGGAGGAGGAGGAGGACCCAGAGGAGGAGCAGGAGGAGGGAAAGAGATGGCGCTGTCGGGGGACGACGAAGAATTTAGGTTGCGAGGCAACGAGGAGCGCTGTCCAGAAGCCAACGGCTACGATTTCATGTGTACGTACTCGCTTGCAGAAATGCCTGGCAGTGAACGACGACGAAAGGCCTTCGCAGGCCCGCACGTTGGCCTACTCGTGGCTCAGGTGCCCCGGTGCGCAGTCGAAGGAATGGCAAACCACGCGGATGTATGCTAAGCACACCGACGCAATGTGAATCAATGCCGCAAAAACAAAACAATACCAAGCCGAGGATGTTATGCTGCAGCGGGTCGCAACGAGACACGCGAAAATAAGTACTTCTTGAAGAATGCACCAAATCCCGGGGTTCGCAACAAATGTCTGTGAAATGTTGTTGCGAACCCCGGAATTCGGGTCAGTTTGGTGGAAGACGCCGTGTGGGCCTTGTTAGATCCCTGGTGGACCGGCTTCGGGCCCTCTCGAGACGTCCTGGGGCCATCTTGGGCCGTGTTGGAAGCTTGGTCCCTCTAGGGACCTTACGGGGGCTACGTGGGCCCTCCTGGTGGCCTCCCATGGTCTTTTGGGGGGCCTCCCATGGCCTTCTTTGGCTTCTCTTGGGGGCCTCGTGAGGGCATGTTTGGCCTCTTCGGCCCATTTGGAGCTTCCCTGGGCAGTCCTGGGCCGTCCAGAGGCTCTCTTGGGTCTCTTGGGCCGTCTTGGGGCGATACCGGAAGCCACTTTGGCTGATTTGGACGCTGCTAAGACCCGAACAGCGAATATGCTGAAAATGTACATTTCCTCGTGGAATAAAACGATTTCTGCGTTCTGGGAGTCCTGTTCAAAGCCTCCTGGGCCGTCTTCGGGGCCTCTGGAGGCCATCCGGGTCCTTCTTGGAGCGCTCCTGTGCTGTCTTGGCTTTCTCTTTGGCCTCTCTGATCACCGCCCTGATCGCCTGGGGCCTGCTGGCAAGACCTGGCAAAGCGCCCTGGGATGGTCCAGGACGAGCCGGGAGCTTTGGGAAGGGTGTCTGGGGGGCCCGGAAACCCCGGACCCTGGGGGTCTGGTTTTGGGGGGGGGCCCGGGGAAGGGGGTTTCCCCCTTCTTAAAATATAGGAAGAGGAATATGTGTATGTGAAATATGAGCATTGACACACGAATGCTAATATGAGTGCAGCGAACTGCCCGGTTCAGCTGACGACTGGACCTGTCACGACAGTTGTGTTTTGCGTGCGCCATTACGCAGCACGTCGCCATAACGAGATAGTTCTACCGCATGCAAGGCCGCAAGCAGATTGTGGGAAGTCGTTCCCAAGTGCATGCCATGTCGCATGAATGCACATGCGGATTGAGCAGAAAACCACACATCAATGAACCCCCATCAGCGGGATCGGCGATGCGGCGCGAGCCTCCGATCCCTCCCACTCAGACCTCACCTGAGAGGCCCAGACATGAGAGGGTCGCGCCCCCTGTCGTATCTGGACGCATCCGTCTGGGGTGAGCCACTGCGGTTGGCGCTCGGCCAGGGTGGCCGTACATCAATGAACCCCCATCAGCGGGATCGGCGATGCGGCGCGAGCCTCCGATCCCTTCCACTCAGACCCCACCCGAGAGGCCCAGACATGAGAGGGTCGCGCCCCCTGTCGTACCTGGGCGCATCCGTCTGGGGTGAGCCACTGCGGTTGGCGCTCTTGGGTGTCCGTGGTCGGGTGCCTGGGCCAGTGGCCCCGCGGGGCCCTGCCTGGGGCGCCCCCGGGGAGATGCTTGGCCTCCCTCCTGGAGAGCCTCGGGGGGCGTGCTGCTGCGCCCCAGCGGGCGCCGCGGGGTCGTCTCTGAACTGGGCCCAGGGGGCACGGTCTCGGCGCGGTCTGGGGGGGCGCGGCTTGGCCCTCGTGCGGCTCGCGGGCGCTTCCTGACGCCGTCCGGAGCCGAGGAGGCTGGGGATGCCAGATCGTCGAGAACCGCATGCACACTGTTCGGAGGAAGCGGGCAGGAGCACGACGTAGGGAAGCGGTGGGAAGTAGAGTGGGCAGCCGCCCGCCCCCTGAGGAGGAGGGAAAAAGGAGACACCGCTCGAGGAGTGAAGCAGCAAGGCGCCGGATGCAGATTGGGACCTTAGAATCAACAAAAAAAAACTGTCGACGACTGATGCCACGGGTACTCCAGATTTCGTAATAAAAGGGAGGGGGTCTGGACCCTCCAAGACAAGCCATTTCAGACCCCCCCCGTGGGAGAACCCTCCAAAACATCGTCCCCAGACCCCCCCAGGCTCTCCAAGATAGCCTGGAAGAGACCCCCCCCGAAATGAGACCCCCCTCCCTTTATTACGAAATCTGGAGTAAGAGGCCGGGCGGTCTTGCACCGTCCCTGGGTGCGGCTGAAGTGGGGCTCCGCGGTGAAAGCTTTTGCTGTTGCATTGTCGTCGTCCTCGCTAGCGACCCGCCGGCGACCCGCAAACGACCCACCCGCGACCCACCCGCGACGCACACACGTTGGTTCGACGAGAACTCGGCGTTTGCGGCGGGCTTCTCAAAATTTGCTTCCGAGCCTCGCAGACTGCCGACGACCCCGCCGCCTCCAGGGACGCCTTTTGGTAAATTGTTTGGCTCCACGGGGGAGCTTCGGAGCATACTGAGCTCT